CTTTCATTAGGCTGCAGACCTGACACTTTAACCGGAGGGCCTCCACTTCCGCTGCCACCGCATGGACGGAGAGTGAAAACTGCAGAGCTGAAACAGTGAGCACTCCAGAGTAACGTGCATTTCCTCCTGGGAGCAGCACGGGAATATCTGCCATGTTTCATTCCCGGGGTGTTCTGAGGGGGCCTCTGACTGAACATCATGTTCTCGTACTGTGTTTGAGCTCTGCTGGACCACTTCATCAGAGCAACAGAGACTCGTTCTTCTTAAAAAAAAAAAAAAAAAAAAAAACCTTTTCTGCTCTGCAGCTCTCAAGCTTGATATCCCTGAACTGTAGCACTGCTGTTGAATATAAATGAGTGGATTAAGCTGTTCTTGTATTAACATTAAAGTGTGGTATCACTCTCCTGACATGCGCCTGTTCATCCGCCTCACTCTAAGATACTTCTACTTGTTTCTGCAGAAAATGACAGCATATGAATCACTGTTAAAAGCAGCTGACATGACTTCCAGTCAAAGTGAAGGCACTTTGAAATGCTTTATTCAATTACTTGATTTAGGTCACCTTCATTCAAACTTAATAACAGTGCTAGTGCAGCCAGAACAATGACACACTATTATGAAGCGACATCAGATATGCACATCTGAAAATATGGGAAATTCCAAACAAGTGCTATAATGTCTTTCTGTCTTTAAACTGGGGGGGGGGGGGGGACTGCTGGTGATTCACGTTAACACCACATGAGACGTCAGCGTCCAACAGACCTCATTCACACGGACACAGAGAACAGTGTTTGCATTGTATGGGCTCTATATGTTACAGGTCACTGAGGGGAAACACATGGGAAGTGATTGATGCTCGCTGACTGATCGACGCCATGACAACAACAGGACATTCATAAACGATCGATGGATTATCACAAACTTCTTGGTCTGTCCTGGTGTTGTTATTCTTTGTTCAGCGTCTTTGAGTATTTAGAAAAGCGAAGAGTGAAGAGAGGGACAGGAAATGTTGGGAGGAGAAAGTGGGGGGATGACGTGCAGCAGAGGGCTGAGGCCGGATTTGAACCCCACGGTCGCTGCGATGAGGACTATAGCCTCTGTACATGGGGCGCTCGACAGAACCGCTAGGCTATCCAGCGCCCCCCCAGCTCAAATCTTTGTTGAGAATTGTGGAGAGGTATTTACAGCACAAATCCACAGAGCAACATTTAAAAAGTGTGTTTGATGATCGCTCATCTGCACGGACAAAATGATGAGGTTTGAGTCCCACTTAAGTACAAGCACCTTTTATTTGATAAGAGGCATCTCTGTTGCTGTAAGTGTTGTGCAAAGAGAAACAGGTGTGCATGTCAGAGAGTAAAACAACATTTCCAAACACAGACTCTCTTACATCCTGGAGACCAATCCATTCTGTGCTCTGTGTTCTGTGAGAGGCATAAACAAGGATTTATTCAGACACTCAGCTTCTCACCGTCACAATAATAAACACAGTACGACAGATCCCTGCAAAGCTCTTCTACTATTTACTACCAACACGACATGTTTGGCCTCTTTTCCCCCAGCAAGACCTCGAGGTCAGCTTTAACCGCGCCATTCCTCACCGGTGCTTCAGGTTCTGTTTTTAGAAGCAGGAGGCCACCCAAAAAAAAAAGGGCCCACGAAGAGCAGAGAGAGAAGAGGCAAAGTTTTGGCTGGAGGTCACAAACCAAAACCAGGAGTCAGGCCCAAACCACAATCTAGCTTCAGAAACAAAAAAACTATATACAAAAAGAAAAGAAAGGGTTTCAGAAGAATGGGAGGAAAGCCTTAAGTGGAAGAAATTGTAATGTTACTCAAAATTGCAAAAGGAAAGTCTGAGTAATACAGCAAAAAATATGATCCCAGCATTTAGTTCCTGCTGTTAGTCCGATTTTTATACATATCAGCGGAAGAATGTATGATAATGCAGCCATGTTAAAGAGTATTGTAATATGAAAGGAAGCCTGAAGAATCCACAGGGTTCATTATGACATGGTGTGAAGCTGTGCATCACATTTTAAAGGCTGCTGTCTTCTGGTTCAATTGGTTCAAATGAAAACTAAAACCACCAGAATCATGAAAAAATCAAACCTCTACATAAGCCATTGAAACCTCTTACATGGACTCTCTTCTCCCAGTACTGGAGAGCAGTCCTCCCCTGGCAGCCCTGCAGCGTTCTGCCACTCCAGAAGGCTTCAAGACAGCCGGCCAATCAGAAGAAAGTGGGCAAGGTGAAGAGTTTTATTTTTTAACTCTACAGGTTAAACAGACTGACAACATGAAAGGTGAAAATAATATGAGATCTTTTAAATGTCATTGTCTCTCCACTTGTGCAGATACAGGATGTCTGGGGAAGAGGCTGCTGCAATGTCTGTCAAATTTCCCTCCAATATGTGGATAACAGAAGATAATTTGCAGTGGTCTCTCGTGTTCCTTTTTCACTTTTACAGAAACAGGAAGTCTGAGATGTCTGCAAGCCGAGCTTCTTTCTTTGCTTATTTCCAGGAGCTAGGCTTGTTGTCGGCTGGCTTTTTGATCTATCCATTTCTAGGAAAATTAGGAAAAAGTTTTTCACCGTATTAAAGGTATTTTTTATCCTGATCCACTGTGAAGATATTGTCTACCCCACTCTGACGTTTGCTGTTTTATCGCACTGATAACTTTGGATAACCATATGGGTTGAAAAATCTTCAGAATGCAGGAAAATACTCCACGTTGAGCCAGCATGTGACTGAGCGCCTAACAAATCACAGATAACTGCTCTTCAGGGAGCATCAGTCGCAGACCTGCTTCAACACACAGCCAAAGTGTGTGTGTGTGTGTGTGCATGTGTCTGTGTGTCTATGTGCTGGAGTCAAATGGCGGGAGCAGGCAATCCTTTGCACCGCTTTTTTACGTGTCTGGGACCGAGATCTGCCCCCTTCGGCACAAAGCATGTGTCGTGGAGGGCAATCGTGCACATTCATCACTTGTGTCCCACAGGAACACAGAGAAAACACACAGTGCATATTCATCACCTCCATCTAGAGAGGACAAGTTCACACATAGAGTTTATGTCTTGACAAGGAAGCTAACACACACACACGTGTGAAACATCACATGTTTAGCAGAAAGACCCGCTTGTGGCCCTCTGTGTGTGTATGTGTGTGTGTGTGTGTGTGTGTGTGTGTGCAGTGAGCGGCCTCGTAAATCAGGTGGGAGCCCGGCCCCTGCAGCAGCAGCTGTTCCCCGGGGGCCTGAGGTCGCATCAATTCAGCTGGTGGCTACTGGCTCCACTACCGTCTCCCATCTCTCCCACTGTCCTACATTTACCCTCCTCCTCAATTAGCCATCCTCCCCCTCCTTCCTCCTCCTTCCTTACTGTCCCTTTCCCACCCCCTGTTGCCTTTCATATCTCCTTGTCACACCCCCCTCTTATCCTCCATCCTCGCCTCCCTTCCTGCCTCCATTTCCCTGATTAAACTGACGGCCCTCAGCTGCACTGTGGAGTCAGCGCAGTTTTTATTAAGGCCTTCAACCTCCTGCTATCCTTCAGAAGAAAGCTCTGCCTGATCCAATCAATGTGAGCCGTGCAGCCTGTCCATCACGCACTGCATGGGCAATAACAAGCAGCTCGTCAAGATGCTACTGTACGCCTTAACGTGCACCAAGTCCTCCACAACATGCACACTTCTGTTTCCTGTTTGAGCAAACTGACGACTTCAGGATTTAAATCACTCCTGCTTTCAACAGTTTTATATGTTCTGTAGTCTCTCTCTCTCTCTCTCTCTCTCTCTCGCTCTCTCTCTCTCTCTCTCTCTCTCTCTCTCTCTCTCTGGCCTGTCAGCATCTCATGTCAAGTGATCCCTGAGTGATTTAAAGAGATCATGTGAGATCACTTGTTGAAGCCCTTTCACACAGATCAAAAGAGGAGAGGAGAGACAGATTAATTCATCTGATGCAAAAAAGATGAATGGGTGAAAGAATATCAAAACCAAAAATAAGTATACTAACAATCAACCATGCTAAATCCAAACCAGATCTTATTAAAGAACCAGAGCACAACACAAACAACACCATCTTCATCACCACTTCTTCAAGTAAAGAAAAAACACACAACTCAATCCCAACAACTTTACTTTAAAAACTTGAAGTATGTATTGGGGGTGTTAAAGAGGACATATAATCCACCTTTCCAAATAGTCCCTGTGGTCTAAATGAAACATCTGAGCTGTGCTTTGGTCAAAATATAACATGAATCAAACACCAGAGGAGGTTTGTGAGCCTGTATAAACCAGCTCTCTCAGAACGCAGAACGAGTTTTCCAGGTAGACATCACTCCTCTGTAGAGAGAATATAAATGGCAGACCTGCTCCAAAGTTTGACTCTAGGCTGGGGGTGGAGTCCATGGGTGGAGATACCAGGGGAGGGGATTTTTTTTTTTTTTTTTTTACCAGAATCCCACTGTGACATCACAAGGAGAGCACATTTGAAACTGAACATTTTTCTCTGTGTTGTAAGACTTATGCAGACCACAAACAAAGGACTGGATGGGTTTATTTCACATTTTGTGGGATGGTAGACACTGGACTACTGGCATCACTTGTAGATTTCCCCGCTGTGGCTGGACCTATAGCTATAATGAATCTATTTTGGTTTACGATGTCAAGAAATGTAAAGCACTCTACATAACAATAAAAAAAAAAAAGGGAGTTCGTATTTATCTGACTGCTAGTCTGCATTGATGAAAAAGTAGCCATGTGGAGAAATATAGAAAATTGAGGATGCATGGTGATATCGAAATCCTGAGGATGCATGGTCCTGTTATTTTTGCGAACACATAGCCTATAAAGACCAAAACATCTAATAATCAAAATACTTACAAGTTACCTAAATAGTGAGCGTCAATGGATAAATATACCATATATACTGTAGGTCGATTAAGTGATACTACAGGTGCCAGGAAATAACATAAAGTACCACAGATTGAATTAGTTTATTACCTTGTTTGTTGCTGTTCTCCAAGGCTACATGCAGAGGAAGTGAAGCTTCCTCTCCAGCTCCCAGTGATGATGATGATCCTCTCTGCAGACTATCTGCCCTGTTGGCACCGGGAGCCGCTCTCTCTCTCTCTCTCTCTCTCTCTCTCCTCCGACTCAAGTCACGATGAATCTCCTCCGCTGCTCATTCCCCGCAACTTTCCCTCCTCACAGAAAACGTGAACAGTTTAAATTCAGACAAAACGTGGAGACAGTTTCGATAACAGGAGAAGGAAAAACTAAAATCCCCGCGGCGTCAGTGTGGACCCTTTTCTCTCTCTCCCCCCCTCTCTGTCTAACTCTGGGGAGACGAAGCCGCAGAGTTCCGCTCCTCCTGCCCGGACCACACCAGGAGAAGAAAGAGAGCAACACCGAGCATATCCGGTTATGACCTTCAAAATAAAATACACACGTTTGCACTTTTCCCAATCTCGTTCGCAGTTTCAGGTAAATACAAGCCTGACAGTAATACAACATTAAAACATTACTTTTTTAGCCTACTCAGAATATAAAAACGATTGAAAGCCACTGTTTATGTCCTTTTTATGGTAAAATAATACGACAAACAATACAATATGCAATATAAGTGTGCAATATTAACCTTAAAATCAAACAACAGAGCAATTATATAATGTGAAAAGAATTCCAATGTACCTGTACTGTCCTGTACTTGTGCAAATGGCAATAAACATCTATTTTATTCTTCTATTCTAAACTAGTGAAACAGTTGTAATGATAGGCGACAGTTTCTAAATTTTGCAGCTTTTTAATGTTGTAAAATAAATGATCTGTATATAACATAAAAAACACAATTTAAGTTACTAATCCATTATTATGAGATAGCTCTTTGTTGTTGTTCTTGTTGTTCTTGTTCTTGTTTCCGGTGGAAAGTATGGCCTATAGATTTCACGACATTGAGGATTTAAATTGTTATTTATGTTATTGAATGTATTTGTGATAATTAGTTGTAATATAGATTTTATCAACACACTGTTTTAGGGAACAGGTGGTAAAAAATATTCCTTTCAGTATGTAGAGACGTCGATTATTTCTGCACTCATAAATTCTGAATTAAACCTGTAGTTAATGTCAAAAGTTGAAGATTGTTCTGCAGTTCAAATGCTTTTATCTTGAAGGCTGGTACTTCTCTCTTCCTGTGTTGTTTCCGGTTAATTTAGCTGACTTCATACAGCTCCGGTCTGAACCTCCTGCTGACGTCACTGCTAAAGGACACCGCCAATCACATAATTGAGTATTTATACAGATGCTGCCATCCTGTCTACTCAACGTGACATCAGTCAGTAACTCTATTAACATCTTTCACTATTATTATCCCAGTTATTTAATAAAGACCAACAAGAACAGCTGTCTGTCCAGTGCTGCCACTTCACTGAATGCACAATATTAAAGCACCTTTCATGTGCTTTATTCCCTTATATCCCTTGAATTTAAATTACTTTTTCATTCTTTTTAAAAATCTTTCAATCCTTTATTTTAGCAGGGAGGACCCACTGAGACCGAGTTCTGTTTTCCAGGGTTTCCCTGCAGTAATTCAAAAAATTCAAAAACAGAACAAATATAAACACAGTTAAAAATAATGACATATACATGAACAGAAGTTCATGCTTGTGTAGACAATGCATCTTTAAAAATGCTGTATGAAACGATGGAGGGCGGCTGAGCTCTCCTTTTGGGTGCAGCGACACTAAAGGAAGTCTTTGCATGTATATAATCATAAATTGTTCATTACTGATTCATTTGTCATATTTCATGCTTAGTTTCTCTTTGTCTCTTAAAATGATTTCTTCTCTTCATCAGTCAAACTAAATAATGTTTTTTTTTCTTTTCCACAGCCTTAGACATCAAATAAAACATGCAGAGCAGTTTTTTCTTTTTTTGGATCAGTTTCAACGACAACAATCAACGCAGCCGCTCATGTATATTTGCTTTAACCGAGTGGAAAGTTATTCCTGAATGCCTCAGCACTCGGGGACATAGTGGAAAAATATGGGAAACCAGCATGCCCGGAAGATCCTTGAATCCTGTTTAGTCTCCAGAGAGGTGTTTACCAGGGAATGCAGCTCCTTATCTCCCTCCCTGCCCCCCTTTGAGTGGGATGAAAACTTTTATAGGGCATCACCTGGACAGAATCTCTACGGCGTACAGATCCACATCATGTTCCTGGAAAAGAGTTGATTCTGATGTATAATGAGTCATTGGAGGGCTCATATCATTTCATGTAATCTCCAGTTCCTTGCAGCCGACCTGATCGAAATGTTGAAATAATCATTCTCAAGAATTTCAGAGAACAGCCAATTCCTGAATGTGATAGAAAGCTTGTATGAGTCAGACACAGGAAGTGAGGGTGGTGAGGATAAAGGCCATGTAGAGGTAAAGAATGTCCAACAGGGCAGCAGAATATTTAACACCCTGACTCAGATGATATTTTGAGCCCAGTGCGCGTTCTTGCACGCTGTTTGTGATTCAGATTTAGCACCATCATGCACAAAATCTTATCTCCTTTCAACACAGAAAAATACTAGGTAGGTCAAATGTAAATGTCATGGTGGGATTCTGCAAAGGAGTAAGATATGAACATCATAAAAGAGTCCTCTTCTAATCTTTAAACAACTTGTGACAACCCGTTCCTCCAGGCGTCGTTTTACTGCTTTTATTCTTTACTCCTTCAGTTGTATTACTTTGACTTGACATTTACCTTTTGTCGCCACATGTATTTATTCTTTTTGATCTTTTGCTTTTACATTTAATGTCGAATCACCTTCAGTCTGCATGTTGTAGACCAGTGGTTCTCAACTCGTCTTGCTTCAGGACCCATCATCACAAACTCCTCCAGGGAAACATTGTGACCCAAATCTGAAACTGAACAAAACAAACATGATTAAAAGCAACCCACTGAAAATGGCTCCGCGATCCACCTCAGGGTCCCGACCCACCAGTTGAGAACCACTGTTTTAAGACTCCTCATTGTTTTGCTGGAATATTGATGCTTATTCGGTTTTGTTCCTGACCTCCTGCCTTTGTTCTGCCTGTCAAATCCCTTCGTAAAGATCTGGTTTTAAACCAGCTGAATAAATAAATGCATTATTATTATCACATTTGTATTGGGGGAGTTTGATTTTATTGTAGGCATGCCGGCAAACTTAAACAATTTTCTATAATTTTTTTAAAGCGAGTACGCCTCAGATGTGTTTTTTGATCCTCTTAAATCTGTACTAGAATATTTTGTGAATCGAGGCTACAAATAATACGGGAGCTAAGCCATCATGTGAAACTATCAGGACCACATTTGAGCATGTTTATTTTAACAAAATGATCACAACATACGAGGTTTGCTTTTATTGAGAGTCCTGCAGAGATGAAAGAGAGAGAGAGAGAGAGCTTGTTGGTGCACGTGTTGGATCCTATGATAAACTATTATGTATAGATAACATATCTTGGGTGATTTTTAATTATTTGAATTATATTTACATATTTTTATGCATGTGACTTAAAGAGCAGCCCAAATTCAGTAGATTTCAATCAATACTTTTAATTGTTCACCTTCAGGTATGTGAGTCTCTGAGCAGTTTGTCTGAAGAACATGCTCACTGTTTCAGTCACATTTATTGTTTCTACGACTTATAGTGCCCCCTTGTGGTCGGCTCAGGGCATTGCATGAAAACCAGGATAAATGCCTTAAAAATGCAAAATGCTCAACTTTTAAAAGTTAAAGTAACATGATTTATAGTGACACACCCTGACTGCTTGAAAATGATTTGTGAGTAAGTAAGATGATGTTTTTATCCCGTATGAAGTGAGATGATTTGTTTCTTTTGTTTTAAAATTAAGAAATCCAACTAGGCTTTGTACCATTTCTGGCAATAAAGTAATTTAAAAAGGATCAATTGCTTTCATTTTAGGAGTGTAATTTGATATCATTAGGGATAAGATATCAAAGGTTTATGGTCCCCTTGTGAGTATCCCTACACTTATGAATGTGATTATCTCTTTCATATTATAAAATAAAATAAAGACTGAGCCACACAAGCACCCATCCACTGCAACTCATCTCTATGTGCTTCCTGAGAAGTATTTAACTTAGAGGGGAAAATAAAGTTCTAGTTCAGTTATACTCAACTACAAAATGAAGTATAACAAACAGGACAACCAGAATCATTCAGACATCACTGATAGAGCTCCACAGAGACACCCAGTGGTGAAAAGGTAAACTACAGATAAATTGGGTTCCACTGCTGTCTGATAATCTTGATCAGATATTGATGTTCTAAGCAAAATAAAGTTCTCCATTCAAAGTGAAGACTCACTTTGAAGACTCACTAAAAATACTTTTTTTCAGCAACTGTGCCCCCGTTCATTTAGCAGAAAAAGTTTCTTGAAAATGACGTGTTGTTTAACCTCAACCTGCAGAGTGTGATTTTCTTCAACTTCACCAACTGGCAAGGTGCATGAAGAGTGACAGAGGCTTAAAGGGGTCAAAAAGCTCCAGCAGCACTTGTAGTGTGAAGATCAACTTTATGAACTTCATTAGACTGACACATTTTGGCTTGTGTCCCTCACCAGGGTCGAGACCCCCATGTAAGCCCCAAGCCGAAACGTGCAGTTAAACTTAAAGTTTCTATACAATTTATGCTTGATGAGTTCTCTAACTCTCAATGAACAGATGCCTCTACTTGAGAACTGCCTCCATTTGTCAAAACATACAGCAACACCAGGCTAGTAAAAGAGACTGGAACTTTAATTTGGACAGGCTTTTATTTGAAGTTTTAGAGTGAATAAAAGTTTTGAAAATTGAAATAATAAACTTTTATTCGACTATAAGTCAAACTAATATTCCTCTCATTGTGTTTATACTTTCAAACCCTGACAATAAGAATGTATGATGTGTTCAGATAGTTAAGTGTGCTACTTGTCTGACTGACGTTTCTTTGTCTCCTTTGTGCTCCGCTGATTCATTAATTCATGTAAAGTTTGGCTGTGTGAGATTATCAGCTTTTAGAGGACGTAAAAAAGGATCTAATGGAGTTGCTGGGATACAAATCTCTCGCGGTTAATTGTGTGTGAAGGATACGCAGTGAAAATGTTGTTAAGAGTCTAATTTGCTCGTGTGTGATAACAGGGGGACTGAGCGCTGCTGTTTATCTAAGATGTGCAAATGTGTAATGATCTTTATCATCACAAACGATTGCTAATATTCTTTTCCTTTTGTCTTCGGGAAATATTTCCAAGTGTTAAACTAACTCACTAAGTATATTCCCCTCGGTTGTTTCCCGAGTCTGTGCAAAATGAGACAACACTTTCCATTTAATGAGTCCTTGT